CTGCGCACCCGCTGCAGCCAGGAACTGGCGGAGCGTCTCTGTCCGGCGCTTTAACGTGCCCAGTCGTTTACCAACAAAGACACAATCTTAGGAAATACACAGGGAACCTGACGTTCATAGAGGTTAGGAATCATAACCAAGGATACTCAGCTAGGAGAGCAGCCAGGCTCTGATTAGAATCAAGAGTCGTCAGGAGCTGGGCGCTGAGGCAGGAGGATGGCGAGTTCAAAACCAGCCTCAGCAACTTAAAGAGACCTTGTCTCAAAATGAAAAATAAAAAGGGCTGGAGATGTGGCTCGTTAAGCACCCCTGGGTTCAATCCCTGGTGCAAAAAAAAAAAAGTCTTCAAACCGCAGTCTTTGGACAAAACCCATCCTTCCTCCCATCCTTCCTTCTGTTTTTGTTCTTATGAGCTAAGAACAGGAATTATATATGTAGAGATTTTTAATCATATATGTAGAGAGTCATGAAAAATATAGGGATTTAAAACGTCAGTACCCATAAAGTTTTATTGGAATGCGTTTACATCTTGTCTATTGCTATATTGTCCCATAAAGGCAGAATTGAGTAGTGCATCAAAGACCATATTGCCTTCAAAACCTAAAATATTATCTTGCCCCTTATAGAAAAAGTGCAAAGCACCACTCGAAACCATAATCACCAGCCTGCAGTTCTTAGCCAGCTTGCATTTCTTACCTACGATACTGCGAAAGTCAGAAAAGAGCAGATTTTAGGATGTATTTCTTACCATTTTTTTTTTTCATTCTTTGCTTTTAAGCACCAGTTTTTATTCCTGTTTTAGAATGCTGTAGGTCTTGGCCTCTGCCCATTATCAATCCAGACTTCCTTTGGTAACCTTTAACCTTGACTATGTTAACAAGTTCCAAAACTTGCTTCTATACAATGCAAAAAGGGTAGGGCCAAATAAAACTGTCTTTGCAAATTCCAGTACAGACAACTAATTTTACTATTCCAGGATTTGGTTTACAAAGTGCCTTATTGAAATTGTTGCTTAGATTGGTCTCCCTGATTCCAATAAACTCTCACCAACTTCACCTTCCCATTCCACCCTTTACACTATCTCAGAGTGTCACTGCTTGGCTTGAAATTGTTTGATGGCTTTTAATGGCTATCTCCCGTGCATATATACTTCTTTGCTTGGACATAAGACCCTTCATGATCTGACTGGTTTATTGAGCCTTCCTTCTGCTGACCAATGTCAACACTGCTCTAATCCATGATTGTAGTTCCCCAGGAAGCTTGCTGTGCCTCATCCATTGCCGGGAGCAATGGACTAAGCTAATTATTACTAAAACAAAGTGTCATTTTCTATAACTACACTACATTAATGCCATCTAATCTTCAGACTCACTGAAGGATCTCCAGTTGTCCCAGTTGTTTCTGTAGAATTCAGTTCATGAGCATGTGTTACATGGAGTTGTCTTATTTTTTTATTCTTTGAACCACATCACTGGGCATTATGTCTATGAGAAATGCCCTTTGATCTCCAAATACCTGAGTCCAGACAGAGAGCTGAGAACACCTATTCCAAAGATGAGTCTACTTTCTCTGAGCAAGAATATGAACAAGGAAACATCCTCTCCATTCCAGGATGATATTCATAAAGGCATATGCAAGGTAAGAGACAGATTTTCATCTTAAAATGTTTACTTAGTGCCTGATGAATAGATCTGTATCAGCCCCTCTACCTAACACCCTGGTTAGACATCAAGCCAGGATGTAGCTCTGTTTGTGAAAGAGGGGAAAAAAAGATGCTGCAGTCATATTCGAATGATGAGGTGGTCCTGGGTTGTGTATACAAGGAAGGGGATGCAGACCTTCTGGAATCCCACAGAGGACAGCCAACAGCCAGGTATGAAGGGGCAGTTGGCCCATGGTAGAATGAAGGCAGAACTCCTCTCATTTCTTCATTTCCTCTCCCCCACCCCCACCCCCACCCCATTCCAGGGCCCTGAATTGAACTGTGAAAAGAGAACGTAAGTGAACTATCAGGGCCACACAGTGGGATTGCACTTCAGAATTGCAGAAGTAGGTGTTGGAGTTGTAGCTCAGTGGTAGAGTACTTGCCTAGCGTGAGAGACACTGGATTTGATCCTCAGCACTGAGGATTTGATCCTCAGCACCACATAAACATGAATAAAAAAACTAAAGGTATCGTTCCCCCCTACACCCAAGAAAAAAAAAAAAAAAAAAAAAAAAGAATCACAGAAGTATCCATTAGCTCCACCTCCTCCAAATTCCCATCTTTGATCTTGATCTCAGAAGCTCTGGGAGTGTCAGCACCCAGATGTAGGAAGATCCACCCTGCGTATGCACAACTGAAGAAGAGGATGATTGGCTCAGCCAAGGCAGAGGTTGAAGACATTGTCCTTTGAAGCTCTATCAGGTTGTACAAATAACATCAGTCTGAAGTTCCTGAAAGGATGCAGGCAAGAAGGAATCAACCATCCACTGTGAATTGTGTTGATGTTAAGGTCTCTCACCTTGGGGCCCTGCTGAGCCACCCAAGTAGGGCTAAGACAGGATGGGAATTATGAATCTGATGTGGCTGTGAGGATGCATGCATCTCTGTGTGTGTGCTTAATATGTCTAAAATTCAATATATATATATATATATATATATATATATATATATATATATATATATTTTCAGTACTGAGAATTGAACCCAGGACTTTGTACATACTAAGCACATACTCTACCACCATCACCAGCCCTTAATCATCTTTAAAATCTCCATTAATTGGGGCTGGGGTTGTGGCTCAGCAGTAAAGTGCTTGCCTAGGACGTGTGAGGCCCTGGGTTCAATCATCAGCACCAAATATAAATAAATAAAATAAAGGTATTTTTTTAAAAATCTCCATTAATTGTATGAAGGTATTAGTACACAATGGATCAGGCACATTCCAGCCACAACCCTGAAACTAAATCAGCCAACAGAGAAATGTGAGACTAACACAGCAGGACTCCTTGGATGTCATATGGGATATGATGTGGTGTCTGGTTCTCAGGACTCTCTGCCTGCTCAAGAGCAGTGCCTCCTTTTGTCCTTGACAATTCTGTCTGTCCATCTTTACCATCCAAGGCAGGCCTCCCGTCCCCACCCAGAGAGGAGAGGGTAAAAGGGTGTTTTGAGGGATCTGACTCCTACAAGCTCTGCTAGTTTGACTGTTGCATAACAGGACCATGCTCCTGAGCCCTGGGAACAGAGGAACCACTGAGTTCTGGAGGCCTCTGGTGCTTCCATCTCTCTTCATTGACCTGGGACAATGTGGGAATGGAGCAGGATCAATCCTAAAGTGGGAGAGCAGGAGGTCCTGTGACTTCTAGTTTCTCATAAAAGCAACTATAATCTCACAGTTCTCACCACACCAGCCTTGGTCTCCCCTGCCTGCCTCTGAGCAAGTCATTCCCTCTGCTGAGGCAACCCTCCCTCCCCTTTTTACTGGGCCAACTTGAAAGAATCATCTCAGATTCAACCAAGGCCTTCCTTGATCTCTCCCTGAAGTTCCTACCCATCTCTCTTGCATCCTGAGTTGAACTCTGATGTAGTCTTTGCCATATAATGTTCAAATTATTGATAAACTTGTTTCCCTAACCTGATCATGAGCTCTTCAGGAGCAGGGCAGGGTCCAAGGGCAAGGACCATACCTTGGTCACCTTTAGATCAGATTTGTACCATGTGTGGCAGTGCCAAGCACATAGTGGGTACTCAATATATACTCTCTGTAGAACTCTACTCAACACTATAATGAAAAGAAGTCTGCTAGTGCCGCCATAACCTCAGCACCATAGAGTGGGTGGCTTAAATGACAGAAATGTCTCTTCTGAAAGTTCTGAAGGCTAGAAGTTTCAAGATCTAGATGATAGCAGATTTGATTTCTATGAAGGCCTCTCTCTCTGGATTGCAGATGAATGCCTTCTTGCTGTCCTATATGGCTTTTTTCTCTTTTTTATTTTTTATTTTTTTAGTTATACATGGACACAATATCTTTATTTTGTTTATTTATTTTTATGTGGTGCTAAGGATCAAGCCCAGTGCCTCACATGTGTGAGGCAAGCACTCTGCCACTGAGCCACAACCCCAGCCCCTCATATGGCCTTTTTCTTTGTGTTCACACAAAGAGAGAGAGAAAGAGATCTCTTCCTCTTATAAGGACACCAGTCCTCTTGGAACAGGGTCCCACTTTTTTGGGGGGTGAGTACTGGGGCTTGACTCAGGGGCACTCAACCACTGAGCCAGTCCCCAGCCCTATTTTTGTATTTTATTTGGAGACAGGATCTCACTGAGTTGCTTAGTGCCTCACTTTTTGCTGAGGTTGGCTTTGAACTCAAGATTATCCTGCCTCAGCCTCCTGAGCCAAGCAGCTGGGATTACAGGTGGGTGCCACCACTCCCTGCTATAGTTCTACTTTTATGATGATTTAACCTTAATTATCATGTCAAAAGCCCATCTCCAATGTAGTCACTTTGGGGATAAAGACTTCAACTTAGGAATTTGGGGGAAATAATTCAGTCAATAACAACTGATGAACTTGAGTTTAGAAAATAAAAGGTCAGGTGCTGACTGCACCTTAACCTAACTTGTGTGCTTTTGGGTAAATAAGTTTGTTATTCTCTGGGAGCCTTGACTACTCTATCTGTAACACGTGGCCAAATTTTATGGGGTTGTTGAGAGGCTGAAATTATATCATGCTGGAGGCATTTTATGGTCAATATAACATCACAACATATACATTATATGTTTCTATCCAACAGTAATGACTTAATTATTCCTTCCTTTACGGTATCATCTTAAAGTATACTATGGGATTTTAAATGCATTATATCATTCTTCCTATATGCAAGGATTATTGTTGTTATCATTATTACAGGAATACTTAAAAGGGAAGTTTGTTTATAATTCATACCTACTACTCTCAGAAAGGAGTCAGGGCAGCTTATGATAAAATCACCAGTGCATGAAAGAGTGTTACCTGTCACTTCTCACACAGGCTGCAAAACAGGCCAAGGAAGCTGTTGATGAAATGAATGACCACCAGGAGAAGCTGGAAGAGGCTGATGCACAGAAGTGTGGAGAAGAAGGACACGTGCCAAATGACAGCTTTAGAGGGCTCCCGACAGACAGAGTTCCAGAGAGAATGGTCATATAAATAATTCCTACCCAAAAAATAAAAATAAAGGGGTCAGGAGTAGGGGAATAAGTATATCCAAAAAAGCAATCACAATAGAAATCTGAGGCCTTGCCTGGCTCAGGTCACAGAACTGGATTTGCTAAGGTGACTTTTACTACTGCACTTAAATTTCTGAGTATCAGAGTAAGGAGATGCTAGAATGTGTGAACAAAATGAGGTTTTGTTTGTTTGTTTACCAGGGATTGAACCGAGGGGTACTTAGTCACTGAGCCACATTCGCAGCCCTTTTTTATATTTTATTTAAAGACAAGGTCTTGCTGAGTTGCTTAGGGCCCCGCTAAATTTCTGAGGCTAGCTTTTAACTTGTGATCCTCCTGCCTCAGCCTCTCAAGCTGCTGTGATTACAGGCATGCACCACTATGCCCAGTCAAAACTGAATTTGTAACTATAGTCCATTCCATCTCTGTGTTATTCTCCCTCCCTCCCTCTCTCCCACCCCCACCTCTCTCTCTCTATCTATCTATCTATCTATCTATCTATCTATCTATCTCTCGGAAAAGACTTCAAATCCACAACTCTATTTACCTGTTATGCATGTCTTTGAATGGGTAGCCATATTTCCAAGCTTGTGTCTGATTGAAGAATGAGACGTCAAACATGCAAAAAGGACCATCTTTCAGGGCTACTCCAGAAGTGATAAAGCAAATCAAGGCTCCAAGCAAAGCCAGGCCACTTGAAAACAGAGCAGTGAGCAACTGTAGAGGGAGGAAGCAAATAGAGTTGACACAGCAGCATGGCTAGGTGGTTTTAGGGGTGAACTGGACAAGTCTAACTTATCTGGTGTTTGGTCTTTCTCCCATCCTATCACAGGGGGATAATTCTACCCATGACACTTCCTTTAGAAGCATGACCAAGATGAGGTGGATGGTGAGGGGTCCCTGGGTAGAGCCAGGAAGAGAGAGGGGAGAAAGGCCCAAAAAAGAAAAACATAGTCACTTGGATTTGGGTCTCCCTGACTCCACTGGCTATTTGGAGCCTTTCGTATTGGCATAAAAACCTTTGTACACAGAACTGGGTATGGAGGCACCTGCCTAAAATCCCAGCTACTCAGGAGGCTGAGGGCAGGAGAATTGAAAGTTTCAGGTTAGCCTCAGCAAATTAGTGAGACCCTGTCTCAAAATTTAAAAATAAAAAGGCTGAGGATGTAGCTCAGTGATAGAGAGCCCCTGGATTCAGTTCTCAGTACTGAACATTTTGTACACAGACTATAGTCATTTGGCCTCTGGGTTAAAGGGGCAGACTGGTCATTGCATGCCCACTTCTTGTAACAGTGGTCTACTTTATGCTTTGAATAAAACAGTGGTCCACTTTATGCTGATCTGCCACTGCAACTTATTTTTAAAGCAAACATGTTTTTTTCTCTTCCTCTCTCACTTCTTCTCCCTAATCTCTCTCCCTTTCTCATCTCAGGGGAAACAGGATTATATTTCTTCCCCATCCTAGAAAGAGATATCTGTCCTTGAGTCCTCACCTATCATAGGAATATAAGTAATCCAGACTTTGGGAATGTCATCAGCAGATCTCAGAAATGACTACCTCCCAAATTAACAAGTGAATTACAACTCCAACAGAGAACATGTAGAATGTGGTCTTCGAATCACCTCTTCAAAAGCCATCCCCCCCCCCAATTCCTGCTGATGGGCAGAATCACAGCCTCTGGACAGGAGTTCCCTGTGTTTCTCCTGTGCTAAAAGAGCAATAAGACTTCTTTTTCCTTTTTCTCAAAACCATGTCCTTATTATTGGATTGGCATCAGAGACAAGGACTGAGCTTTCCGTAACAGTACTTACAAACTCAGGATGAATTAGTCTGATGTAAACAGTGGGCAAGTTTTCTCAAAGTGTGGTCTCTGAATTTGTTTGCAATCAAAATCTGGGGATGGGGGTTCAGTAGTCTGTGTTTTAACAGGCCCAGCAGAAGGTTTTTCTTTCTTTCTTTTTTTTCCCCCAGTGCTGGGGATGGAAGCAAGGGCCTCCTGCATGCCAGGCAAGCACTCTACCACTGAGCTACATCCCCAGGTCCCCAGCAGAGAATTTTGATGTAAATTCAAGGTTAAGAACTACTTGCCTATCGCAAAGCCAGATATGACCGAGAACATGATGAATAAAATGCCTAGGTCTTTATATTTATTTCTTTAACATATAACTGAATCAGTGGGATCCCAATATGTAGACTGCAGGTATCAAGAGCAGGGTGCAAAATTATAGGCCTCTGTATTAGAACCTAGTGATTTGATAATCTCTGGACAACCTTCCAGTTCTAAGAAAATAACACATAGTTAGATGAGATGTACACCTACCACTGTAGCACTCAAGTGTTCTACCACTAAGCTACATCCCCATCCCTCTAAGAAAATATTAATTAAGATAGCCAGGAAACTTTCTGTCAAAGACACATGATTACAATGTATAGAACTCATGTCCATATTGTTCAATAAGCTAAAGAAAATTACAGTTTTTCACATTGCTACCTACATTTGTGGTTCATTAAGCACTTACAACTCAATTTTACAGATGAGGACCTGGGGCTGGAAGGGTCAGACAACTGTACCCAAGAGCTTAGAATTATGAAGAACCTGATTTAAAGCTTCAAGACTGAAATTGCCCCTTGACTACTCTGCTTCCAGAGTAAGAGAATGTGGGAACATTCCAGGTATCAGAAGAATGAAATCCAATGCTTACACTTAGACAGGGTACACTTTTACTGAAACAGCAATATCTCCATCCCATCACAGAGATGAGGGTAGCTGCAGTGAGTACCTGGAGAGAGGAAAAGAATGTTAAGAAGAGACTGGGTAATTTACATCTCTGCTTCGAGCTGCTGCCTACAGCCATTGAAATTGACCATACAATTGAGGGCTGGCCACTTCACAACAACTCAATTGTCCTATTGGCTGATTGTCCAGACCAGTTTGGGATGACTGTCCTGATCTTATGTTATGTGAATACTAATGTTCACAACAGCTTGCTTGGATCCAAGCTAAAATCCAGCAACCCTTAACAAGTCCTCGCATCCCTTGTAGTGTCTATGGGCCCCGAGACCAGCTTTTTGAAACAAGTTTGTTGTACTTTTTTTCCCCAAGAATCAAAACATTCCTCCCCCTCTAAGATAGAGACCACACATAGGGAAAAAGGGCTAACAAACACCTGGGCCTTAACTCATGGCCTGACAGCCATTAAAAGATAGTACAAGTTTTTCCCTCTGCTCTCCCACATTTATCCCCCACCAAAAAACAAAACAACAACAACAAAACAATCTTATCAGCTTCAGAGACCAAGTACATCATTAGGGCCAGGAAGCTCTTGCCATGACTCCCCAAGGACAAACGACATAAAGGATAAAAACTGTTGTGAAGCCACCAGAACAAATTCCCAGGGCCCTTAACTTGTAACTGGCCATGATTTGTGTTCTCTTCTATTTTCCACCAATGTGTTCTCTGAACAGCTATTTCAGTTCATCCTTATCACAAGACAGAATGGGATACAGAATGTGGCATCCTCAGAATCATAGTGCCCACATAGGAAAATAAAAATGCACCTTTGAAATGTACTTAAAGACAATGAAGTTTCCTAAACCTTCTCTCCCCCCTTGCAAACAGCCCTTTCACCTGAATAAAACTCTTTCCCTTTGTTCTGAGGCCAGCCTGACACTCTACTGTAGGGGCTGTCTCCCTTCTCTTAAGAGAAGCCCTAATTGGAAAAAGAGAGAGAGAGAGAGAGAGAGAGAAGCCCTAATAAAAGCTTTGAATATATGTTATCTCACTGACTTGTGTTCCTGTGTTTGTCATCACCACCACCTTCCAGTTCCACCCCTGGGGGATGTTTAGGGAATTCACACTCAGGGAACCGCACACACTTACCATGAGACCTCCTCCCCAAAGCCCAGAGCCCAGCATGGCATGCCTGCCAATGAGACCCCTCAGCAGATAGGTCACATCCCAATTAGGAAAGAGGAGTGCCACATTGGCCCCAGCAGCAAACAGGGCTGCAGTCCCCAGGCTCAGCCCCAGGATGCGGGAACAGGTTCTCGAGCATGCCATCGTGCAGGAAGGGGACAGCATCCTGGAACTGATGGAAAGAGAATCACAATGGAGCACAAGTTAGAGGAACCCTCAGAGAATGTAGTGAGGCGAAGAAAATAGAGTGCCAGGGTCAGTCAAGGAGAGATGAGAAATTTCCTTAAACACTCTCTCCTTTATAATTCTTTCCTAATGAATAGGATTTAATTGCTCCATTTTCTGCCAACTCCTACTTACACACAGACACACATTCCACGTTCCATCATATTTTGTTTGCTTTGCCTGTATCACACCCAGTGATTATTTCTACTTGGTAAAGAAAAATGCATTTTTAAAAGTGTCACCATACCTTGTCTTAGTACTTGTTTTTTTTTTTTTTTTTGTACTGGGGATTGAACCCAGAGGCATTTTACCACTAGGCCACATCCCCAGCCTTTTTAAAATTTTTTATTATATTTATAATCCTTCTTAGACTCCCAAGTTGCTAGGATTACAGGCATGTGCCACCACACCCAGCTTGTCTTAGCACTTTTGTTCAATATTGTAGAAGAAATCCAATCTAGTACAATAAGAAAATAATAGAAGCAAAATCTGTACCAATAGGATGGGGCCGGGTTTGTAGCTCAGTGGTAGAGTGCTTGCCTACCATACATGAGGCATTGGGTTCAATCCTCAGCACCACATAAATGTAAAATAAAGATATCGTGTCCTATTTTAAAACTAAAAAATAAATATTTAAAAAATATTCACCAATAGGAAAGAAAGAAATAGCATTGCCATTATTCACAAATAATATGATCACACATACAGAAAAATCCCAAGCAAGCTACCAAAAACTAGTTCCTAGAACCAATGGGGAATTTATCAAGGTCATAAAATAAAAGATTAATATTCTATTGTATTTCTATACACAAGCAAGGACATATTGAAATTTAAAAAGTTATAATAACAATAGCATTAAACATAAGTACTTTATAAGTTTAACAAAATATCTGCAAGATACATATACTCAGAATTGCCAAGAAAAATTAAGGAATACCTAAATAAATGGAGGAATATACCATGTTCATGGATTCAAAGACTCAATATCATTGACAAGTTAATTTTCACTAAATTGATGCTTAGATTCAAACAGGCAAAATCCCAGTAGAATTTTGTTATAGAAATTGACAAGCTATAACTGGGTTTGTAGCTCAGTGGTTGAGTGCTTGCCTCACATGTGTGAGGCACTGGATTTGAACCTCAGCACCACATAAAATAAATAAATACATAAAACAAAGATATTTTTTAAAAATAACAAAAGAAATCGACAAGCTAAACCCAAATTAGATAACAATACAAAGGACTTAGGTTAACTGATACAATTTTTAAAAAGAACAAATTTGGAGAACTCATACAATGTGATTTCAAGACTTAGCATGCGATTTCAAGACTTAACATGGCATGGCCAATTATGGCTTAGCAAAGCCAGTTAATACTATTACTAGCCTGTGACAGTGGCTTCCCCTAGAGCTTGTAGACAAGGGTATTATAGGATCAGAAATTAACATTGTAATGAAGAATGATAAGAAATTGTTGTTATGTTCTTAGATTTGATGACTTTGTCAATATGGTGCTGGAAAATATCACTGAGTTTGAAATCACACCAGAAGGAAGAAGGATAACTAAACCAGATCAGATTTTGCTAAATGTAACAATGCTCATTCCTGGAGGAAAAGGACCTGAAGTAACAAACACATTTTCTTGACTTATGCTAGATTTTATTTTGTTTTAGAATGGCAACAAAACAGAATTTAAAATTTTTTTAAAATCTTTTAAATTTTAGTTTCTCTAAAGCTAAGTTTCCCATTAAAGGGATATAATTTTTAAATTATATATACCACTTTTTAAATTAAATCATGATTGCCTTGGGAAAAGAAAAAGGAGTGTTTGTTTGTTTGGTATTGGGGACTGACCCAAGGGTGCTTTGCCACTGAGCTACATCGCAAGCTTTTTTTATTTTTTATTTTAGGACAGGGTCTCACTAAGTTGCTTAGGACCTCACTAAATTGCTGAGGCTGGCCTCCAATTTGCAATCCTTCTGCCTCAGCTTGCCAAGCCACTGGGATAATAGGTGTGCATCACTACATCTGGGAGGAGTTCATTTTTTGAAAACCAAAAACTTAAGGTGGTTTTTGTTAACTGTTAGGAAAAAAAATAGACTTATTATAAAGCTATAATAATTAAAATAGTAAATTCATGACATAAAGAAAGGTATATAGATTACTGGGACAGACTAAAGAGTTCAGAACTAGACCTCCACGGTATTATAAATGATTTTTTGAAAGGATGATAAAACAGTGGGAAAAGGATAGTCTCTTCAACAAATGGTGCTGGATCAATACATAAACAAACAAAAAAATCCTGTATCTAAGATATTTAGATAAGGGATGTGGCTCAGTGGTTAAGCGTCCCTGGGTTCAATCCTGGGTACCTTCCTCTCATCTCTTCCCCCCACCCCACCCCACCCCACCCCCCAAAAAAAAAGAAGAAAGGAAAGGAAAAGCTGGGTGTGGTGGCAGGTTCCTGTAGTCCCAGCTACTTGGGAAACTGAAGCAGGAGATTGCTTGAACCCGGAGTTTGAGGCCCCCATCTCAAACACACACACACACACACACACACACACACAGAACTACTATGCAACCACTGGAATTGTTACAATTAAAAAGTTTGGCTCCACAAGTGTCAGTGAGGGAGTGAAGAACTAGAATTCTCATACATTGCTGATAAAAATGCAAATATATCACTTTGGAAAATAGCTTGACAGTTTCTTATAAAGTTAAACGCTTACTTATCGAATAAGCCAGTAATTCTACTTCTTCATGTTTACCCAAGAGAGGATGTGAGGGTGATCTGGCTGCTACATCTATCACCCCATTCACTGCCAGGGTTGATTCTGCTGATTCTGGCTGGCTGGGCGGTGTCCCCTTCCTCCCTCACCACTCCGTGTGCATCCTTCTCAAAGAACCATTCTTTGGTCAAAGGTATATGAGTAGCTGCACTCCCCTGCTACAGACTCCAAACAAGCTCTCAAGAGAAATGAAAGAACATGTCCATATAAACAACAGTACTTGAATGTCCACATCAGCTTTATGCATAGTAACTAAAAATCAAAAATATGCAAACAACCCACATGTCCATCAACAGATGGACAAATGGAGAAACAAGATGTGGTACATTCGTACTATGGAATATCATTCATTCAGGAAAAGAAAGTTCTGTATCCATGCTGCAACATGTATGGAACTTGAAAACATGCTGAATGAAATAAGCCTACAAGAAACATAATGTATGACTCTACATATATATGAAATATCCAGAATTATCAAATTCATAAAAACAAAAGTAGATTAGAGGTAACTAGGGTCTGGGGAGAAGGAGTGTGAATTATTTTTTAATAGTTAGAATTTAGCAGTTTATTGTTGGGTTAAAAAAAGTCTTGGAAATAGCTAATAATGATGTTGAGCAACATTGCAAAGGTAATTAAATTGTGTCACTTAAAATGACAAATTTTAATGTTATATATTTTACCATGATAAAAAAAATCACTTTAAAAATAGCCCAAATATGCATCAATAGATGAATAGAAAAATTTTGTTGTATCCATACAGTGGAGTGCTAGTACTAGGTGATAAGAATGAATAAACTATTGCTACACAGGAGCATCATGTTAAGTGAAAAGAACCAGAGACAAAAGACTACTCATGATATGACTCTATTTATGTGAAATTCTAACAATGGCAAAACTAGTAACAGAAAGCAGATCAGGGGTTGCCTGGAGCCAAGAGGATTAATATAGGAGTGTAAAGAAACTTTTTTCCCACCAATTTTGGGGATTGAACCCAGGGTGCTCTATCCTGAGCCACATTCCTAGCCCTTAGTGTGATAGGGTCTCATTAAGTTGCTGAGACTGGCCTCAAACTTGTAATCTTCCTGCCTCAGCCTCTGGAGTACGGGGATTACAGCCATGCACCACTATACCTGGAGAAAATACATATATTTAGGATATAGATTTAGAGGCTTGCTCTTCTCTCTCTCTCTCTCTCTCTCTCTCTCTCTATA